AGGGGGTCATCAGGTTCCCAGAATGGGTGCAGGGGGCAGATGTCCATGGGTGGTTGGACACCCAGGATGGTTCCAGAGAGGAGTTCGTGGATGGTTGAAAGCCCAAGATGGGTGCAAGTGGAGTCCATGGGTGCCCAGACACCAGGGTTGGGTGCTGGGAAGGATGTCTATGGGTGGTTGGACACCCAGGATGGTTCCAGAGAGGAGCCCATGGGTGGCTGGAAACCCAGAATGGGTGCAGGGGGTCATCAGGTGCCCAGAATGGGTGCAGGGGGCAGATGTCCATGGGTGGTTGGACACCCAGGATGGTTCCAGAGAGGAGTTCGTGGATGGTTGAAAGCCCAAGGTGGGTACAAGTGGGGTCCATGGGTGCCCAGACACCAGGGTTGGGTGCTGTGGGGGGTGTCCAGGGATGGTTGGACACCCAGGATGGTTCCAGAGAGGACTCCATGGGTGGTTGGAAGCCCAGGATGGGTGCAGGTGGTAGATGGGTGCTCAGATACCCAGGATGGGTGCAGGGGGGGGTCCATGGGTGGTTGAAAGCCCAAGATGGGTACAAGTGGAGTCCATGGGTGCCCAGACACCAGGGTTGGGTGCTGGGAAGGATGTCTATGGGCGGTTGGACACCCAGGATGGTTCCAAAGAGGAGCCCATGGGTGGTTGGAAACCCAGAATGGGTGCAGGGGGTCATCAGGTGCCCAGAATGGGTGTGGGAGGAGGACATCTATGGGTGGTTGGAAGCTCAAGGTGGGTACAAGTGGGGTCCATGGGTGCCCAGACACCAGGGTTGGGTGCTGTGGGGGGTGTCCAGGGATGGTTGGACACCCAGGATGGTTCCAGAGAGGACTCCATGGGTGGTTGGAAGCCCAGGATGGGTGCAGGTGGTAGATGGGTGCTCAGATACCCAGGATGGCTGCAGGAGGGGGTCCATGGGTGGTTGGAAGCCCAAGGTGGGTGCAGGGGGTCTTCAGGTGCCCAGAATGGGTGGAGGGGGAGGATGTCCATGGATGGTTGGACACCCAGGATGGTTCCAGAGAGGACTCCATGGGTGGTTGGAAGCTCAAGGTGGGTACAAGTGGGGTCCATGGGTGCCCAGACACCAGGGTTGGGTGCTGTGGGGGGTGTCCAGGGATGGTTGGACACCCAGGATGGTTCCAGAGAGGACTCCATGGGTGGTTGGAAGCCCAGGATGGGTGCAGGTGGTAGATGGGTGCTCAGATACCCAGGATGGCTGCAGGAGGGGGTCCATGGGTGGTTGAAAGCCCAAGATGGGTACAAGTGGAGTCCATGGGTGCCCAGACACCAGGGTTGGGTGCTGGGAAGGATGTCTATGGGCGGTTGGACACCCAGGATGGTTCCAAAGAGGAGCCCATGGGTGGTTGGAAACCCAGAATGGGTGCAGGGGGTCATCAGGTGCCCAGAATGGGTGCAGGGGGCAGATGTCCATGGGTGGTTGGACACCCAGGATGGTTCCAGAGAGGAGTTCGTGGATGGTTGAAAGCCCAAGATGGGTGCAAGTGGAGTCCATGGGTGCCCAGACACCAGGGTTGGGTGCTGGGAAGGATGTCTATGGGCAGTTGGACACCCAGGATGGTTCCAGAGAGGAGCCCATGGGTGGTTGGAAGCCCAAGGCTGGGTGTGTGGGTGGGTGGTCCATCGGTGCCCAGACACCAGGGATGGGTGCTGGGACCCAGGATGGTTCCAGAGAGGAGCCCATGGGTGGCTGGAAACCCAGAATGGGTGCAGGGGGTCATCAGGTGCCCAGAATGGGTGCAGGGGGCAGATGTCCATGGGTGGTTGGACACCCAGGATGGTTCCAGAGAGGAGTTCGTGGATGGTTGAAAGCCCAAGATGGGTGCAAGTGGAGTCCATGGGTGCCCAGACACCAGGGTTGGGTGCTGGGAAGGATGTCTATGGGCAGTTGGACACCCAGGATGGTTCCAGAGAGGAGCCCATGGGTGGTTGGAAGCCCAAGGCTGGGTGTGTGGGTGGGTGGTCCATCGGTGCCCAGACACCAGGGATGGGTGCTGGGAAGGATGTCCATGGATGGTTGGACACCCAGGATGGGTGCAGATGGTCATCAGGTGCCCAGAATGGGTGCTGGGGGGGGTGTCCATGTGTGGTTGGACGCCCAGGATGGTTCCAGAGAGGAGTCCATGGGTGGTTGGACGCCCAGGATGGGTGCAGGGAGGTCAGTGGGTGCAGGATGGGTGTCTTTGGGTTCCTCACTCCCTACTTTTCCCCCTGTTGGGGTGTGTCCCCCCCACCAAGGTGGCCCCCGGGCATGAGCAAGCGGCAGTCGCTGTCGACCTTCAGCTCGGAGAACTTCTCGGACGGGGACGGGGACGGGGACGGGGACGAGGGGCACACGAGCGAGCCCTCGCACAGCGCCACCCCCGACGTGGGCAGCACCAACACCGACGAGCGCCCCGACGACCGCTCCGAGGACCTGCTCTCCCAGGGCTCCGAGATCCCCCTCGACGCGCCCCCCAACGACGGGGGGGGGCCCGGACGCCGCCACGGGGGGGTCAGCCCCAAGGTGATGTCCCCAAACCCGGGGGGTTGGGTGGGGGGGGTGATGGGGAGCACCTACAGCCCCTCCAAGAGATGGGTGATGCCATGGGAAGGGGTGCTCCCAGGGGTCAGGAGCACGGGGTGGGGGGTCTCTAGGGTCCCCAAGGTCCCCCAGGGATGGGTGCCACTGGGTGGGGGTCTCCAAGGTCCCCCAGGGATGGGTGCCATTGGGTGGGGGTCCCTCAGCTCCCCCAGGGATGGGTGACACCCTGGGAGGGGGTGGTCCCAGGGGTCAGGAGCGTGGGGTGGGGGTCTCTAGGGTCCCCAAGGTCCCCCCCAAGGATGGGTGACACCCTCAGAACCCCCAGGGATGGGTGACATCATGGGAGGGGGTGCTCCCAGGGGTCAGGTAGTTAAATTCTGAGGGCTCTGAAGTCTGACGTCAGGTTTACGCACGGGAGCCGTGCTGGGATGCCCACGGCGGGGCGGGGGAGAGGTGAGAGCTGAGGTCTGAAAGGCTCACAGAAGTGATGTTTGTGGAGGGCAGCTCTCCCTCTCTCCCTCCTTCTTGCAAAGCCCTCCCTACGCCTGGTTCTGGGGGTAGGAGAGATGACAGGAGCACAACTTCAGAAATATTTTTTCCTCTCTCACCCCTTGACACCCCAAAGTCCTGTGTTTCACATCCTTCTAAACCGTTTGGTTTAACAGTGATTGTTCTTGGTGTGGGAATGGGCTCCAGGCTCCCTGAACGCATCTGAAAAAGGAGATAAAATTCAAATCCCTGGCTGTGTGACAGTGTCAGAGAGAGTCAACAGTAAGTGATTCCCAAAGGGAAATTGGTAGGATTTTTCCTATTTTGTATGGCAATTAG